TACAAAAAACAAACCCATTGACATTGAGTTGATTCCAACTCATAGCGACCCAATAGGACAGAATTAGGATTTCCAAGAAGCAGCTGGTGGATTTGAACTGCCTACCTTTTGGTTAACAGCCCAGCTCTTAACCAGTGCGCCACAGAGTTTAGAATCTAGACAGTTAAGTTTGGTTCATTTGGGAGATGAGAATGTACATTGAAAGCCCTGGGTTCAAATCTGCAACTTCTGAGCTGTGTGGGCAAGTTATTAGCCTCTCTAAACCTCCGTCTCCTCAGATGTCAGATGGAATTGTGAATAATAGTTCACAAAGAATATACATAAGTGTGTAAATATATATATACACAGATACACATATATGTGTATCTCAGTCCTGCAGGCATCAGTCTAAATGTTTTTACATATACCTATTAATCTTCACAGTAACATTATGAAGTGGTTACTGTGATTATCACTGTTTTTGCAGATGAGGCACCAGAGAGGTTAAGGCATCTTCCCACGGTTGCACAGCAAGCAAATGGCAGAGCCAGGATTTGAACACAGTCTGGCCCCAGAGTCCTGGCTCTTCCCCACTGCTCTTTGCTGCCTCACAGTTTGTTGTTCAGGTTAATGTGGTAACATAAACATGAAGGATCTTATTCATCGTGCTTGAAATGGAGTGGGGGCTCTAAGCTGCTGCCACTTGCAGATTGTCAGTGTGGCGGTGGTCTAGGTAAGTCTTGACAGAACTGGGAGGGGTGAGATCTTGCTGTAGGCACAGCCAGTTCAAATCTGTTCTTTGAACATTAAGTGAATTTAGTTGTCTGCTCCCAAGTTGTTATACCAATAATCTGTGGATGTAGGGTAATTTGTGAATTCTTTTTCTTAAGCATGTTATGGTATAAGTGCCTTTCAACTGTATCTGTTCCACATTCAGTTGCTGCTAGAGAGAGGCAGCATGGTGTGCAAGCACTCTGGCCCTGGAGACAGGAATCTCCCAACTGTGTGACCTTTGCACATGTGTCTGTAAGATGAGGAGACTGGCTGGTCTCTCGGGTCCTTCCCAGCTCTGATCTTCCACCAGTCTGTGGCATTTCTCTACAGAGTCCACTTTGCAGTGGGGTGTGCTCCACAGGACAGGCGAGGGCCACGATGGTTTAACTTTACACAGCACAGAGTCCAACTTGACTGGCAATTAAATGCTTGTGATGATGACATTTAAGGGAATTAGGATTTTGCGTTCTTTCCATTTCCTGGCCCACTGAATCATTCTTAGAGAAGTCGTGATGTTATAAATTTCATTAGAAGTATAAATCACAAAAGAACATTTCCTTGACCTCAGCAGTTTATAATCTGTATGAGTCATAAATACAAGTAATGTTAAATAAGACTAAACTGTTTTGATCAAGATGATTGGAATAAAGATAGTGTTGGCAAATGGGAAGTTTTTTTTTAAGTGGAGTTATTTTTCTCCTAGAATACAAGGTTTTCTACAGAAGAAAAATGTAGCCATTTCTAAAAGTCCTAGTTTACATTAATGTAGCACATATTTATTGAGTGCCTGCTGAATAAAAGCAATGTATTTGGAACAAAGAAGAGAACCTCAAATACAGAGTAATAATGTAGTGTGGTAACTGCTGTATAAGAGTTCATACATGGCTTACAGGAGCACAAAGAAAGAGTGTCATTCTGAGAATCCTGGAAGGCTGCACAGAGGAAGTGGTGTTAAAGAACGAGTGGGGGTTTGCAAGTCAATCAAGAAGAGAAGGGCCATTCCAAGCAGGTCATTCCAGTGGTGTGAGAAAGATGTCTGGAGAGTGCGGGTAATTAGGTGTAACTTGTGCACGGGGTAGGGGTAGAGGAAATGAGGCTACCAAGGGCTTCTGACACCAGTTCCTTGGCAAATATGGAGGAAGGCTGTGGGGTCTCTGAGAACAGAAAAGTGGAGTTTTAGAAATGGGTTAAACCTCAGAGGAAGAGGAGTTTTTATACAAGTGGAAAATAACAGGGGTGTAACAGTGGTAGAGGGGACGCTAGGGGAGCACTAACTTTCCTCCCACTGCCGTCAGGATTTGTGCAGGCAAGGAAGTGGGGTGCTGTTGAGTGGGCAGGCTTTACTAGAGCCAGATTCACAGAGAGGGGGCTTTAAGGTTAGCAGGATCGTACGGGTGAGTTACATGTGCTGGTGGAAAGAGTGTCATATGGAGAGTTTGAGGATAGGGGTTGTTTACTGATTACTAAACACAGATTCAGAAAGCACGGCGGAAAAGTCAGAGGGACAATAAAGTGAGGATAAGCATATGCAAGGGGAAATGATGACCCGAGGACCTTGCATTTTTGGGCATGGCCAAGGATAACAAGAACCCAGGCCATGGTGGGATTCATTGGCTCAGGTTCTGAAATGGGTTCTAAAACCAAAACCAGTTGCCAGTGAGTCAGTCCTGACTCATGGTGACCCTACATGTTTCAGAGTAGAACTGTGCTCCATAGGGTTTTCAATGGGAGATTTTTCAGAAGTAGATTGCCAGACATTTCTTCTGAAATACCTCTGGATGGTCTTAAACCTCCAACCTTTTGGTTAGTGGCCGAGCGCATTAACTGTTTGTACCACCCAGTACTGACCCAGTGGGGGCTTTTGAGGCCTGTGGACATTGCTTGGCATTCCAAGGACAATCTTGGTAGAACGTAGACCCTGAGCTTCTTAAGAAATCCTTCTCAGAAGACTAACCTCCTGAGGAAACTGACAGCAGACCTCATCTCTATGAAAAGATCAAGACCGTAACACTCTTGATGCGGGATATTTGGCGTTTGGTCTTGGGAAGTTTTCTCGGGGCGGGGGCTGGAGGTGGGGGGGCTCAACTTGGGGGAGAGTGTTTTACAAGTTTTGCAAAAACAGACTCTTACAGGATTCTTACAGGTTCCACCGTGTCCAGCGCAAAGACTTCTCATTTAATTTCATTTAACTGCGAGAACAAGAGTAGTACTTCTCTCTTTCCTTTTGCTAACTCTTGGTTTGTTGCTTTGTCTAACTTTTTTCTTCTTGCCTCTCTCCCTCGTTCAGAGCCAGACTATCAGGTGTATCTGAATGCTTCCAAGGTCCCTGCATTTTCAGATGACCCCACAGAGCTAGAATGCCGGATTGTGGACATGAAGCACTCGGAGGCGAATGTCCATTTCACGGTCTCTTGGTACTTCAGGATGAACCTGCGCAGCAACGATGTGGTCACCAGCGAGCTTCTCGCGGTCATGAACGGGGACTGGACGCTGAAGTATGGAGAGAGGAGCAAGCAGCGGGCCCAGAACGGAGAGTTAATTTTTTCTAAGGAGCATACAGACACGTTCAGTTTCCGAATCCAAAGGACTACAGAGGAAGACAGAGGCAATTATTACTGTGTTGTGTCTGCCTGGACCAAACATCGGAATAACAGCTGGGTAAAAAGCAAGGATGTTCTCTCCAAACCTGTCAACATTTTCTGGGCATCAGAAGGTAGGAGCTTCATTCTTGTTCATTACCCTTTTCTTTTTTTTGGATTAAGTCACACCACCATATGTTTTCAGATGCACGTTAGCACGTTCACTAGGAGTCCAAGAAATACATTCTCAAGAGCAGGTATAATGACTGTTGCTTTTATCTGTAGTAAGCACTTGTTGCTGTCGAGTCGATTCTGACTCATAGTGACCCTATAGGACAGAGTAGAGCTTCCCCATAGGGTTTCCAAGGAGCAGCTGGTGGATTCAAACTGCTGACCTTTTGGTTAGCAGCGGAGCTCTTAACCACTGTGCTACCTGGGCTCCTCTGTAGTAAGAGTCCCTTTTAAATGGTGATGCTGCAAGGAAGGTCAGTGTGTGGGTTTCTTGCATTCTAGAGAGTGAACTAAGGACTTGATTGGTGGCAGAGAGTTGTCTTGTAGGCATTCTAAGAGGTCTTTGGCTGAGACACTGCACAGGGCAAACCTTTGATACTTTATTGTTCGGCTGGGTGTCTTAGGGAAAACCCACACAGGCCTTTGGTGTGCCAGTGTCCATGAGTTCCCACTGGGGTGCAGACACTTTTGAGGTGCCACATCACCAGTAGGTATCCACAGAGCTGTTGCTTCTGCCCCTGAGGGACTAGGCATCCATTTGGAGAGATTCATTTCGAGGGTGAGGTGACAAGAACTTAAGGGATGGTAAACAAAATGTTTGATGCATCTACTCCTGAACGCACAGAGCACTGTCTGCCTTGGGATGTCAGGCTAACCTCATCAAGTCTCTTATCCTGTTCTTGTCCACCACCACTGCAAGCCCAGGCCTCCTGGGTCCTCCTTCCTGCCTTAAATGTTCATCATCATATGGCCCTCTGCATATACCCCTTCTGCATCATATACCCCTTTTACATCCCCAAGCCTCAAACAGGACCCTCTAGAACTCTGTCATCAGCAAAATCTCCTGTTTCCTGAACCTCATCTCTGAATGTTCTCTCTTTCTTACATTAAACATTACTGACTGCTTCACTCTCTCTTGAGGGCATTATTTCCTCTAGAGCCCTCCTAAATGGAGACATTTTCCTCTCACGCCCCTCATCCCTGAGTGGTGCAAATGATTAAGCTTGGCTGCTAACCAAAAGTTGAAGGTTTGAGTCCACCTGGAGGCTCTTTAGAAGAAAGGCCTGGCAATCTATTTCTGAAAAATCTGCCCTTGAAAACTCTATGGAGCAGTTCTACTCTGACACACATGGGGTCGCCATGAGTAGGAATCGACTCAAGAACAATTGGCTTAGAGATGGGGTAGGTACCCTCCTTGTTCCTCACTGCAGCTTCCAGAGCGTTTTCTCTCCTCCATAAAAATGCCCAGCTTTGAGTCTCCTGTCTTCAGACCATACTCCCTCCTTCCTCTCAGCATCATCACCTGTCCACGCCTTGTTTCTCCCATTCATTCTTTGAAGACCTTAGCTATGTTTCATGGCCACTCTCTCCAATACTACTGATCATCTTGCTGACATCACAGTCCATGTAGAGTACAGGTTCTCACCTTGGCTGCACATTGGGATCACCCAAGGAGCTTGAAAAAAATATTAATGCTTGGGTCCCACTCAGAGATTCTGTTCTAATTGGTCTGAGGCATATGCGGTGAGGGCAGTGGAATTTTAAATGCTCCCAGGGTGATTCTGGTGTGCAGTCAAGGTTGAGAGCCCTCATGTAGATAATCCTTCCATTCTTACTGACTTGCCCTCCTCTCTCCAATCATTGTGTCCTCTGTTCTATTTTGGTCATTCACACTCACACTTATACCCTACACTAGACCATCTCACTTCTGATAACTGAAACTCCTCATAATCTCAATTGCAAGCTTCCTGTTCCCTAAGTATGGAGTCCCTGGGCTGTGCACACAGCCAGCACACTTGGCTGCTAACTGAAAGATTGGAGGTTTGAGTCCACCCAGAGGCACCTCGGAAGAAAGGCCTGGTGATCTACTTCTGAAAAAATCAGCCAATGAAAACCCTATGGAGCACAGTTCTACTGCGACACACATGGGTCGCCATGAGTCAAAGTCAACTTGATGGCAATTGGTTTTCTTCTCTAAGTACACCTTCTGTCTTTCGAGAGCATTCTCTCTAGTACTCCAGCAACTCTTCAACCCCACCAGGAGCCACAATCCATTAATCCCATCACCTTACCTTGTACTTTACTCTCATTTGTGTTGTGTCTTTACTTCTCTCTTACCTAGAGTGGTCATTTGGCCAGGGTAGTCCAATTTACACCGTTGTCCTAGAATAATTATTACTAGCACCTTCTGTCATTTTCAGATATGTCCAGAGAGGAACGAGGATAAGTGATGTGGCTACCCTACAGGTATCTGGCCTAAATCTCAAATCAGCCATCATCACTGCCTTGCTCACACCCTTAACTTCCTTGTCCCTCTCTTGTGTGTTGTACTGATTGGCTAAACCATAACCCAGTGCAAATCCAACTCTGCCACCTCCCTACCTGCATCTGCAGAGTTAAATGTGGTTAGAGGAGAACATTCAAACATGTTAAACTGGTCTCACTTTAAATGCATGACCATTACTTCACTCAGGTGGGCACCCAACACTGCCTGGGAATCATTCTGCATTTCCTTAATCTGTTTACTTTTGCTTTCCCAGATGATGATTTCAGACCTTCTCTCCTTTCAAATCTCAAACACCTCCACCCGCAGCCCTACTCTCAGCTGTTGATCCTGCTTTCTATTTTTCTGAGAAAATAGAAGCAATCAGAAGAAAATTCCCATTCTACCCCAGCCACGGGACCCATATTACTCAGCCTTATCTCCTGACAAAAGCCAGTCCCTCCCATTGCTCAGACACATAGTTCTAGCAATTCTCTCCCCTCTCTTACATCGTCAACATTTCTCTCTACTGGATCTTCCCCATCATCATGGAAACATTATTAGATCTCCTATCTTTTTTTTAAAAAAAAAAAAGAAGCTCAACTAATTTTGATCTGTCTCCATCTGTCTGTTCTCCACATTTATCTTGCCACCCATTACTCTCTCCTTCCTTTTATATCCAAAGTGCTTGACTTATCTATACTTTATGTCTCTAGTTTCTCTCCTCCCATTCTCTCTGATACCTCCTCTAATCAGGCTATCACCCCTACTGCTCCTCCTTTTAAGATTACCAGTGATCTATGCATTGCTAAATCCTATTGTCAGTTATCTTACTTGACTCCGTAGGATTTAACACAGGTGATCATTCCCTCCTGGAAGCACTTTTGTCTCTTGGCTTCCTTGGCTTTTGGGACATCGCCCTCTTCCAGCTGTTCTTCCAGACTCACTAGCTGTTCCTTCTCCACCTCCTGTGCCGATTCCTCTTCATTTCCCTGATCCTCAAACATTAAACTGCCTCAAGACTCAATCTTTGGACTCCCTTTAGATCTGTTCTAATCTCTTGAATTTAAATGTCATTGATACACCAGTTCCAGTTGCCATCGAGTCAATTCTGACTCATGGCAATCCCATGAGTGTTGGAGTAGAACTGTGCTGCATGGGGTGTTCAGTGGCTGGTTTTTTGGAACTAGATTGCCAAGCCTTTCTTCTGAGGTGCCTCTGGGTGGATTTGAACTGCCAACTTTTTGGTTAGTAGGAGAATGCTTAACCGTTTGCACCACCCTGGGACTCCTGTCTATATATCAGAGACTCCAAAATTTACATTTCCAGCCCAGACCTCTTTCCTAAACTCTAGACTCAATATTCTGTTGCCTTCTTGGTGCTTCTACTTGTCTAACAGGCATCTCAAACTTCTGTTCAAAATGGAGCTTCTGGTCCTTTCTGCCAAACCTCTTCTTTCTCAACCTTCTCAAGCACAACTAATGGCTCCATAGTTGCTCAGACCAAAAACCTTAAAGTTATCCTTGACTCCTCATTTTTCAAAATTACTTGGAATCTAACCACTTTTCACACTCTACTGTTCCAAGCCACCATCGTCACTTCTCTGGATTATATCACTAGTCACCCTGCTTTTGCCCTTGCACACAGCAGCTAGTGCAATCCCATGAAAATAAAAGCCCAATCATGAAACTCCTCTGCTTCAAGCCTTTGAAGGCTCCCTGTCTTAGTCAGAACAAAACCAAACTCCTTTTATGGACCTAACATGCCCTATACCAACTGACCCGCAATACTTTTCGGACATCAAGTGTAACTCTCCCCAGCGTCTACTCCACTTCAGCCACTCTGCCTTCCATGTTTCCCCATATACACCAGGCGTGCACCAACCCGGGGCTTTCCACTTGCTCTTCCCCTACCTAGAATGCTTTCCCTCCACACCAAAGTCACCAGGAAAGCATTAACCCAGGAGACAGAAAGGGCCACATAAACCAGAGACCGCAGCAGCCTGAGACCAGAAAAACTAGATGGCGCCCGGTTACCACCAATGACCGCCCTGACAGGGAACACAACAGAGTCCCTGTTGGAGCAGGAGAAAAGTGGGGTGCAGAACTCAAGTTCTAGTAAAAAAAAAAGACCAGACTTAGTGGTCTGACTGAGACTGGAGGAACCCCAGAAAGCATGGCCCCCAGACTCTCTGTCAACCCAGCACTAAAACCATTAGCGAGGCCAACTCTTCAGTCAAAGATTAGACTGAACTATGGGACATAAAATGATACTCGTAAATACATGAGACGAAATGGGCATCTCCTGTCCAGAGGTGAGATAAGAAGGCAGAAAGGGTCAGGAGCTGGTTGAATGGACATGGGAAATCAAGGGTGGAAAGGAGGAATGTGCTGTCACAGTATAGGGAGAGCAATTAGGATCACATAACAATATATGTATAAATTTTTGTATGAGAGACTAACTTGAATTGTAAACTTTCACTTAAAGTACAACAATAAAATTTAAAAAATGGAAAAAAAAAATAATGCTTTCCCTCCAGATAGATACAGGGATTGCTTCCTCATTTTTTTCAGGTCTTTATTCAAATGTTTTTGTGGGGGTGAGAGGCTGTCCCTGAGGTTGTCCCTGGCTACCCTATCTAAAATTGTGATAACACGCCTCACACACACACACAAACACACACACACTCATTCTTCCTCTGTTCTTTCCCTGCTTCATTTTCTTTTAAACGTCTGTTGCCATCTAGCCATATCATATATTTTCCCTAGGTATTTTGTTTGTCTTCTTCCTCTAGCATTTAAATGCAGGAATTTCTGTATATTTTGCGCACCATTGTTTTCCCAGTGCCTGGCATATGGAAGGCTTTCAATAAATACTTTTTTGCTTAATGGATGGATGAAGGAACCCTCAGGAGAATCAAGAAAGAATGTGGGTGGCCCAGTGGAACCTTAGGAATCGCAGAGAAAGAATAATATACATGTTCTGCTAATAGATTTCGTGGAGCAAAGCATTCAAAAAAACCCAACATAAAAATCTCATAACTGGACAGATTATAGGATTAATCATTTTACTGAAGGATAAGAAGAGCGTGCCTAATTCATTTATTCATCCGTTCAGCAAGTATTGAAGTGCCTTCCAAGTTCCTGACATTGTGCTGTTATAATATAAATAAATTCTAATGTGCATATGCTTAGAGTTTTTTTGGTTTTTTGTTTTTTTTTTTTGAGAGAGAGAAGTTGGGAGTAACAGACTTAAACATAAAGTTAGTGGAACCATAGATACTTGCTCAAAATGTTAAAATAGCATCTCTGAAATTAAAGTGTTAGCTAAATGGAAATGATTAGATCTACTAATGCATATGCTCCAATCATTTTAGTATTAAATCTGTTCTGTAATGATACCATCATATAATTATCATAGAGAGCCTGTTTCTTCCTCACTCTGCTCCTCCAAGCAGGCTAGTATAGCTAAGAGTACTTACCCTGGACCCAACAGAACCTCAGAAGAGGAGAGGCAAATGGCATCACCAAGAACCTGACCTAGCTGTCATGTTTCAGCATATCTTCCCAATTCACCAAGAGTGGGCTCTAGTTTACATCCTTGGGGGCACAAGTAGCTTCCCAAATCCTGTGAGTTCACTCTTGGTAAAACTCCTCAAGCATTTAAAAATCCTTAAAACCAAATTCTCACCAATGGAGTCCCCCTCCCTTTTACCATGAAGTCATTTCTGGCTACTCTGCTGCATCCAGTGGGTGGTTTTCAGCCTGCTTACAGATACACAAGATTTTCTTCTGAGTGTCCAGATTATGTGAAGTGCTGTTGTGTGACAGTGTGCATATCAATTACTGTTTCTCTGACATTTTGCTTTTAAATGTATATACATTTTAACTAATTTTTGTTAAAAATCACCTCCTTCTGGTCCTTCATTCCAGACTCTGTGCTCGTGGTGAAGGCAAGGCAGCCAAAGCCTTTCTTTGCTGCAGGAAATACATTTGAGATGACTTGCAAAGTGTCTTCCAAGAATATTAAGTCGCCACGCTACTCTGTTCTCATCACTGCTGAGAAGCCCATGGGGGACCTCTCCAGCCCTAATGAAACCAAGTACATCATCTCCCTGGACCAGGATTCTGTGGTAAAGCTGGAAAATTGGACAGATGCTTCGCGGGTGGATGGCGTCGTGCTAGAGAAAGTGCAGGAAGATGAGTTTCGCTATCGAATGTACCAGACTCAGGTGTCAGATGCAGGGCTGTACCGCTGCGTGGTGACAGCCTGGTCTCCTGTTGGGGGCAGCTTGTGGCGAGAAGCAGCAACCAGTCTCTCGAATCCTATTGAAATAGACTTCCAAACCTCAGGTGAGCAGGGAGCCATATTGAATCATAGACTGAGCTAGAAGAGGCCTTAGGGCTTTGATCTAATGCCCTGTTTTGTTTTAGCAGCTTCATTGAAATATATTTTACATACGATACAGTTCATCCATTTAAAGTGTTTAATTCAGTGGCTTTTAGTATATTCACAGAGTTGTGCAACCATCACAGCAGTTTTTCAGCATTCCTCAGAAGAAGTCCCACACCCCTTAGTCATTACCCTCCAGTCTCCCATTTCCTCGCCGTACCCCCCAGCCCCTGACAACCACTAATCTACTTTCTATCTCTATAGCTTTACCTATTCTGAGCATTTCGTATAAATGGAATCATACAACCCGCGGGCCTTTGTGTCTGGCTTCCTTCACTTATACGGAAACTCATTGTTTCACTTTTCGAGGAGCTCCTAAACTGTTTTCTGAAATGAGTGTACCATTTTACATTCCCACTAACAATGCATAAGGGTCTAATTTCTCCACATCCTCACCAACCCCAGTTATTGTCCTACTTTTGGATTATAGTCATCCTTGTAGGTGTGATGTAGTATATCGTTATAGTTTTGATTTACATTTCCTTCGTGTATTATTTCCCTAACGATGTTGAGTATCTTTTCATGTGCTTGTTGGTCATTTGTATTATCTTCTCTGGGGAAATGTCTATTCAGATCCTTTGCCCAGTTTTAAATTGAGTTGTCTTTTTATCGTTGAATTCTAAGGGTTCTTCATAACAGTCTGGATATAAGTCTCTTGTCAGATATATGATTTGAAAATACTTTCTCCCACCTGTGGGTTGTCTTTTCACTTTCTTCATGGTATCCTTTAAAATTTTGGTGAATCCGATATATCTATTTTTTTCTTGAGTCACTTATGTTTTAGTGTCAAATCTTCCTGAATCCAAGGTTATGAAGATTTATGCCTGTATTTTCTTCTGAGAGTTTTAGTTTTAGCTCCTACATTTAGGGCCATGATCTATTTTGAGTTAATTTTTGTGTACTGTATGAGGAAGGGATCCAATTTCATTCTTTTACATGTGGATATCCAGGGACAACTGGAATGAAATTAGATCCCTTCCTCACACTATACACAAAAATTAACTCAAAATGTTAACTCAAAAAGTTGTCCCGGACCCCTGGTGGCGCACTGGTTAGGCGCTTGGCTGCTAACCGAAAGGCTGGCGGTTTGAATCCACCAGCTGCTCCTTGGAAACCCTGTGGGGCAATTCTGCTCTGTCCTGTAGGGTCACTATGAGTCAGAGTCGACTCGATAGCAACAGGTTTTTTTTGTTTTTTTTTTAAATCCAGTTGTCCCAGCACCACTTATTGAAGTCTTTCTGCCATTGAATTGTGTTGGCACCCTTGTCAAAAATCATTTGACCATAAATGTAAAGATTTGTTTCTAGAATGTCAATTCTATTCCATTGATCTCTACATCTATCCTTATGCCAGTACCATATGGTCTTGATTACTGTAGCTTTGTAGTAAGTTTTGAAATCAGGAAGTGTGAGTCTTCCAGTTTTGTATTTCTCTTTCAAGATTGTTTTGGCTACTCTAAATCCCTTGCATTTCCATGTGAATTTTAGGATCTGCCTATCAATTTCTGCAAAAAAGACAGTGGGGACTTTGATAGGGATTGTGTTCATTCTGTAGATCAATTTGGGGAGGAGCCTTGGGGGCACTGTGGTTAAGCACTTGGCTGCCAACCCAAAAGGTTGGTGGTTCAAACCCACTAGCCACTCTGCGGGAGAAGGATGTGGCAGTCTGCTTCCCTAAAGGTTATAGCCTTGGAAACCCTCTGGGGCAGTGACCCTATATGGTCACTTTGAGTCAGAATCAACTCAATGGCAATGTTTTGTTTTTTGTCATCTTAATACTATTGTCTTCCAATCCAGGAACATTTAATGTCTTTCCATTTATTTACATCTTTAATTTATTTCAGAGGTGTTTTGTAATTTTCAGTGTACAAATCTTGAACTTATTTTGTTAAATTTATCCTAAGTACTTTACTCTTTTAATGCTCTTGTAGGTGCAGTTGTTTTCTTAATTTCATTTTTTAGACTGTTCATTGGTAGCGAATAGAAATATACTTGATTTTTATTTATTGATTTTGTATTTTGCAACTTTGCTGAACTTGTTCGTTAGTTCTAATCGTTTTTTGTGAATTCCATGGGTTTTTTTTAATATAATTTATTTTTTGTTATTGAGAATATACATAGCAAAACATACACGAATTCAACAATCTCTACGTGTACTTCAGTGATACTGATTACATTCTTCGAGTTGTGCAACCATTGTCACCCTCCTTTTTCAAATTCCTCCCCCACTAACATAAGCTCACTGCTGCCTAAGTTTCCTATCTAATCTTTTGAGTTGCTGTTGTCATTTTGATCCCATATAGATAGTTCTTAAAAGAACACAATGCTCAAGGCATCCCTAGGATTTTTTTAATTAAAGATTATGTCATCTGCTAATAGGAATAATTTTGCTTGCCTAATTGCCCTAGCTAGAATCTCCAGTATAATATCGAATAGAAGTGGTGCAAGTGGACATCTTTGTCTTGTTCCTGATCTTTGGGTTTTTCACTGATGCCCCTTCTAACAAGGAAGGTCCCTTCCATTCCTAGTTTGTTGAGTGTTTTTATCAGGAAGAGGTGCTGGATTTTGTCAAATGCTTTTTCTGTCTTTTGAGACGGAGATGGTCATGTGGGTTTATTCCTTTATTTGTGTATTTGTTTTCCTGTCTGTAGGAGACAGTTCCATCTTGTTTTACATTTGTTATTTGATGCTTCTTTTAAACTGTTACGTGGAAGAGGGGAGACATAAAATTTTTTGTATGTTTTTCTCGGTGAGGAATGGGTATTGAATCTATTTCTCAATTCTTTAAGTCTCAGCGTAACAGATAAAATCACTGTAGCTTCCAGGTTGAATAGACTGCCTAAGATTTTCATTTTATTTAATCCACAAAGTTGTTATGGCAAGTTCACGTTTTAATTAATTAGGAGAACCAAACCAAAGTCAAACCTGTTGCCCTCCAGTGGATTCTGACTCATAGCAACCTTGCAGGACAGAGTAGAACTGCCCCATAGAGTTTCCAAAAAGTGACTGGTGGATTTGAACTGCCGACCTTTTGGTTAGCAGCCAAGCTCTTAACCACTTTGCCACCAGGGCTGCTTAATTAGGAGATGGTGCCATGAAATCTAGTGCCTAGCACAATGCTGTAGCCCTGAGTAGCCCCCAGTAAACACTGACTCAGAAATGAAGAGCTTTCGCTTCCTAAAAGTCAGCAGCGCACCTTAAGATAACACAAAACAAAAAGATTCTTCCAGGTGTCCATCTTCCTGTCCCCTGACTTCAGGGCTCTTTCCTCTTGGTATTGAGGACGTTTTTCCCAAGGGGCCCCACTGAGTCATGGTTTACTGACTCAAAGTGTCAAGGGGAAAGTGTGGTAAATGTGATGAAGTGTGATTTTGTCCTTTTAAAAGAATAACAATAAAGCTTTTTCCCCTTAATATAAAAAATTTGAAAATTTAGTCAAGTAGAAAGGTAAAAAAGAGAATCCCCCATAATCTTACAATCCAGAGACCCTTCATTTGTGTTGTTCGTTCCTAGGATTTTTCCCTTCCATGTTTTCTTTGTGACTTTGAGATCAGGCTGTATATACAATGTTATGACCTGCTTTTCCTCCTTGAACATTGTAAGCATTTTCCATGTTATAGCAAATTCTAGGTAAATAGCAACTTTAATGACTATGTTCTAGAATTTGGGGAATCATTACCCTTTTGATGGACGTGTAGATGACCTGTACTGTTTTGCTTTCACAAAAATACTGCAGTTAACAGTCTTTGGTTGGGGTTGGAACATGGTTTTTGTCCATGTTTGTATTTAAAAGCTCAGTGGATCGTGGCGTACTCTGTGCATACTAGGAATCCAGGGACCCCTAGTGACTCTGGCCGTTCACTTAAATTCTCCGTGCCATCGTCTGTCATCTTTGAAGCTAATCAGACAAATCTCCTCATAAAAGCAGCATTACCACAAAAATTGACCATAATGAAAATATTTCTAAGCCTGGGATACTGGCGCATATTAACAGTGAGCTGTTGATTTCATTAGAAGGAAATGCACCATTATGAACAGTTTGCCACAATGCAGGCCTTTTTCCCCAGACCTTGTCTTCATTGTGAGCCATAGTACAAATGCTCTGTTGATCCCCACAGCCGTGGCCAATAGGGGAAATGAGAACCGTAAGTTGTGACCTAGGAGGCATTTGGGGTTTTGTTTGGAAATACAAAGAAAAGAAAGCAAAATTTGTCCAGATTAGGTAAGTCTTTCTTTGCTATTTCAAATTAAGTAAATAGAAGCATAAGTCCATTATGACGATTTCTTACTGTATTGTCATTTTGAGTTATCTTAGAAGGGGCCTGAACAATTTAAGAAAGCCTCTTAGTCTAGATCTATTTGTTACCATGAAATTCCTAGTCAGAGAGAGAAAGAAAAAAAAGGGAGGGGGGTCTCCTTTCCTCACCATGGTTGCTACTAACCTGTACTCACAGGTTGCTGTGTATGGTATAAAGTACCCCCAGTAGTCATCACAGAGCCAACTCAGAGCAACTGGCATAATCACTGCTATATTGTTGTTATTGTTAATTGTGTTGAGTCGGTTCCAACTCATAGCAACCGTATAGGACAGAGTAGAGCTGCCCCATAGGGTTTCCAAAGAGTGGCTGATGGATTTGAACTGCTGACCTTTTGGTTAGCAACTGAGCTCTTAACATCTGTGCCAGCAAGGCTCCAGTCATTGTTATAGGCAGAAGCAAATCCAGGGTGGTAAGGACCTGAGGGAGCCATGGCAGAGAGCTGAGTTAATTGAAGGGGATGATGTCCAGAAGTAGGGGAAGTTTCCTTGTCCTCTTTGCTTTCATCCTTTCTCCATTTCCTGGGATGGCCATTCTGATATGTTCTCTATCCCCTTAGAGTTAAGAACCCTCCTGCTGCTCTTTGGCTAATCAGAACTCACAGCAGCACCCACCCAGGCCTGCCTAATTACCTCTAGTACCCCATATTCTACTACTGTCCTTCACTTTTCTCCTTCACCTTTCTCCCAGAAAAATACCAATTATTTATATATACTTGGTGTTAGGAAAGCAATCTGGGGAATTCATCTGGTTACTCATGATGTTGAAATGAAAATACAGGCATTTCAATTCTTTGCCTCATTGAATTACATACCTTTTACTCTCTTTCTATCAGACATTTCTTCTGGATGTTAAAAAAAAAAGTGCCTTTTCTTACTGGCAGTCTGATTAAGGAGATCATAGTACCTGTATTCTTAGAATCTTATGAGTTTCAGAATCAATGTTCAAGACCATCTACTTTTTCTTCCCAGGAAACCCAAAGGGTATCCCATAACATTGATATTTTGGAACCTTCTTTCAGGTCGCCTCTTCCTAGCTAATAGGGAGTGGGTTAAGGTAAACATTGGGCACTTAGGGATCAGCTTGGCTTAAAACTATCGAACATTGCCAACTAAAAGGGAGTCATGTTGTTGTTAGTTGCCATCGAGTGGATTCTAACTCATGGTAGCCCTCCGTGTGCAGAGGAGAACTGCTCCACAGGGTTTTCAAGGCCTTGACCTTCCAGAATCAGATGTCCAGGCCTGTCTTCCAGGGTGCCTCTGGGTGAGCGCCAACTGCCAGCCTTTCATTTAGTAGATGGTTTAGTAGTCAAGCACATAACTGTTTGCGCCAAGGAGGTGGGGGGAGGAGGGGTAGAGGAGGGGAGAAGGAGAATGCAGTACCTAGCCCCTTCCTCTGCCTAGGGAGGAGATAAGAGCTACAAATTCCTTCCATGGAAAGGATATTTCTTTTAATTTATTAAGTCACTTCTTTGTGCCTAGTAATCAAATAACACAATAATATTTATGCCTGTAGTCAGATGCATCAGATTGACTCTCTGGTAAATGCTGTTAAATTCTAGCACTAAGTTTTCTTTATGCATTCAGTCTTCATAGCTTATATTTTGTTGCTCACTTGTATGTTCATTGCCTTATAACTTGAAAACTTAGAGGGGAGCACCTCCACCTTGCAGTGATAGAGGGTACTGAGAGCTTAGTGTGGTCTTCTGGTGTTCGGAAAAAAGGAAAGGGGTCTTATGTAAAAGTAAACTGGATATTGGGGTGTGGTGGGGTATTGTCAGGGTGTGCAGGACAAATCCTCTCTGGGTAGTTTTTTAAAGGAATACCCAGGATGCCTCGATCTCCCTGGGCAGATGAGCTGTGCCTGCAGCGTTCCCGCCACACTTTATAGAAATAGTTGTCATCATTGGCATGTTTATGTCCTTACTAGATTTCAGCCTCTTAACAGCAACGACCTGCCCCCATTCTTTCCATCAGAGCCAAAGGAATCCGTGGTTCATTGCCAATCCTTCTGAATCTCCAAGCCACCTTGACCTAGAAGTGAACCATACTAAACCAGAAACAACCAACACTGTACTGGGAAGTGGGAGGAGGGGGGACTTCAAATAAGACTGGTCATCATGAGAGAAGAGGTAAAGGAAAAGCCAGAAGCAAAAATAACTCTTTAAGAAGTTATTATTTTGGTTATAATCTTAAGATGGAGCTCATTTGGGTGTGCCTAATGCATAAGTCTCTCTCAATAAAAGAAAAAATAGAACACCTACTGTTTTGTGAGTTTCTAGACCCATTCCAAGGAAGAGGATCCACATTTAGATGCCTATTAGAGTGCCAAGAATGGAATATTGAACAAAACCATCAAAGAGAATAATGAGGACAGCATGGCTTTCTTCCAGGTCCTGTATTTAATGCCTCTGTGCATTCGGCCACACCATCGGTCATCCGGGGAGATCTGATCAAACTGTTCTGTATCATCACCACTGAAGGAGCAGCACTGGATCCAGGTACTTCTCTCCATCATCTTTCTTACCCCATGTTGCTTTTTGTCATCGCCATGGTGTTGTACAAATGTAGAGGACGGGGATTGGATTGTCTGTTTATCCCCAAATGGCCTCATTCAGTGCTTTGTATTCAGTGGGGGTTTAATAAGCACTTGTTGAATGGATGCACCTATCTCTTAGATGATTTGGAAACACATCCAAAAGAGTCTGAGTTGTCAAGGTGATCAGTGGACCACCTTGGGGCTGATTCAAGCTGGCTTGAAACCCACTGCCAGAGCCCAGCTCCTTTACTTGTGTCTTTTATTTATTGAGCTCTTTCTATGTACAGATGCCATTCCAGATGCTGGGAAGAAAGGACTGAAAAAAGTGGTTAAAGTCTGCCCACATGAAGTTTGCAAACTAGGGAGACAGACAAGAAATAGATTGCTATACACTATAATATCAAATAGTGATAAACACTGTGAAGAAGTACAGGGCAGAGTAAAAGAGTAGCAAGTGACCAGGGGGTGTTATTGTAGTTAGAATTCTTAGAAAATCTCTGTAAATCGTTTCTTCGTAGCTGTATTAGCGTTGCTAACAGGACAGGTAAGAGTTGTGGAGAGGCCATCAGTGTTACACCTTTCCTGTTTGGCCTCCCTCAGTGCCAGCTGGTGTCTCTCTCTCTCATTCTTAAGGACATTAAGGGCACTTAGTGTGCCTCTGTTAGGCAGGACTGGACCCTCCTCTGCCCTTTCCTAAAGACCCCATAAAAGAAAACCTGTTGCCATCGAGTCGATTCCAACTCATAGCGACCCTGTAGGATGAGTAGAATTGCCCTGTAGAGTTTCCAAGCAGCAGCTGGTAGATTTGAACTGCCGACCTTCTGGTTAGCGCCAAGCTCTTAACCACTGAGACATGGAGAACCCAATTCACCCTCTAGGGGCTGCCCTTCTCTTTGAACCCAGACTCTCCTCTTACTACCTACCTTGGTCATCTAGTGCTGCTATAACAGAAGTCCCACAAGTGGATGGCTTTAACAGAGAAATTTATTTTCTCACAGTCTAGTAGGCTAGAAGTCCAAATTTAGGGCATTAGCTCCAGGGGAAGGCTTTCTGTCTTTGTTGGCTCTGGAGGAAGGTCCTTATCCTCAATCTTCCCCTCGTTGAGGAGCTTCTCAGGCACAGGGACCCCAGGTCCAAAGGACGCGCTCTGCTCCCAGTGCTGCTTTCTTGGTGGTGTGAGGTCCGCAACTCTCTGCTTGCTTCCCTTTTCTTTTATCTCTTGTAAGATAAGAGGTGGTACAGGGCACACTCCAGGTAAACTCCCTTTACATTGTATCAGGGATGTGACCTGAGTAAGGGTGGTGTTACAATCCCACCCTAATCCTCTTTAACATAAAATTACCATCACAAAATGGAGGGCAACCATACAATACTGGGAATTATGGCCCAGCCAAACTGATACACACATTTTTGGGGGGACATAATTCAATCCATGACACTACCCTACCCCATTACAAGCAAAGCGATGGCTACTTGAGGATTTGCACCTTGAAATGACCACATTGTGCAGGCTCAACAAAGCTCCTTGTGGAGACTGCTGGAAGTGTGGCCCTGGGGAAGAAACTCGAAGCCAGTTTTTATTCTGCATTAAGAGGCAAGTTTTGAAGCAAAGTGGGGTAAATTGTAGTGAAACCAGAGTGAGCACTGTGAGGAGGGGCCTGGGGATAGCTGGTGTCCTGGAACCAGAGGCCTAGATGGCCACCCCCTGAGGTCTGGCTCCTGTGCGACCTCTAATTGAAGGTCACAAGTACTGGGAAGTTCAGGTGGCAGCTAGTTCAGGGGTCAGCAAATCTTTTCTGTAGAGGCAATAAATACTTTTGGCTTTGTGGGCCATAAGGTCTTTGTGGCAGCAACTCAACTCTGCCATTGTAAGGAGAAAGCAGCTGTAGATAACATACAAATGAATGGTCGTGGCTATATTCTAATAAAACTTTATTTACCAAAACAGGCAGTAGGCTTGCCATGGCCTGTGGGCTGTAGTTTGCCAACCCCCGAACTAGTTGATTGATACCAAAATTGGCTTTCTTAGAGAGGGGCACATGGATGAGCTTTTGTTGCTGTTAGCTGCTGTTGAGTCGGCTCCAACTCATGACAACCCCATGTACAACAGAACAAACGTTGCCTGGTCCTGTGCCATCTTCACAGTCCTTGGTGTGCCCGAGTCTATTGTTGCAGCCACTGTGTATTTTGAGTGCCTTCCAACCTAGGGGATTTATCTTCCAGCACTATACCAGACAATATTTTGTTGTGATCCATAGGGTTTTCATTGGCTAATTTTCAGAAGTGTATTGCCAGGCCTTTCTTCTTAGTCTGTCAGTTTGTTGCACTGTGGTGGCTTGCATGTTACTATGATGCTAGAAGCTATGCCACCAATATTTCTAATACCAACCAGCAGGGTAACCCATGGTGGACAGGTTTCAGTGGAACTTCAAGACTAAGACAAGCTAGGAAGAATAGGAAGAAAGAGGATGAGCTTTAAGGATAGGAAAAAGGAGAAAAGTTTGTGGGAAGATACAAGAAAACGAAAAGAAAAAACACATCCATACACACTTAGTTGGTCAGCTTCATTCATGGGGGTAAGAAATGAGGACCCCAGGTCTTGAACGAGCTGCCGCTACTATACCTGAGATGTGGAGGATTAAAGACTCAAAGTAGGATTCAGAAGTGAAAATGAAGGTGAATGTAGAGGAGACACCCAGGGAAAGGGGGAGGAAATCTCTTTTAAAAGTTGGAATAATGTAATATCATTTTTATCCTTAAAGCTCATTTATGATATATACAAAAATTAATCCTTTAAATGCTCTTTCTCAGTAAATTAATGGGTCACCAGTTGTGCCCTCAATATAAAAGTATTTTCCTTCAGAGTAATTGCAGAAGCTATAGGTGGCTATTACCTTGTGGATCACAATTTTCCAGAACTTTGCCCCCTTGGACTGTGTGGGTGGAAGATTCTGAACAATTAAACACAAATTGTAAATTAGTTTTTCCTCATGCGTCCTCTGGGCTGTGAGGGAATTCTTTTTGAAAGGACATGTTGAATAAGTGGGCTGAGTGCCAAAGCACTTCTGTGCCAAGGTGGGATGGTGTGAGGCGGATCATGGCCTGTTTGAGGAGGTGTCTTAGGTCAGGTTCTCCAAAAACAAAGCCAGAGACAGTGTGTAAGTGATTAATTGAGGGAACGCTCTCAGGAGAAAACTATGAGGGAGTGAGGGAACCAGGAGAAGCCAAGGGAAGAAACCAGGCAGAGATGCGAGTTCAAAGTAAGTCTCACTCCCCACAGGGAGCTCTGGAGCATGATTTATACCAGAGTATGTCCATCCTTCAGGCAGGGGGGCTGGGCTTTCATATCCCCACATTAGTCAGTCATTGCCTGCAGGCTGAGTGACTGGGACTTGAGGGTATTTCATACCCTCCAAGAGATGGCTTCTGTAGCGAAGGGCAATCCTCTAGGGAAGGGTACAGGTGTAAGAGCTTTAGCAGCCAACACCTACCCGCAGCGGGGGCTGGGTGCACTAGCTGGTATGGGTGGGGCACCAGACATTAACTACTGCAGGACATAATGCCCTTCCTGTTAGCAGCATCTCTCTTACAGAAGGCCTGTATATTGAAATATGGCGATAGTGATGTTTATGGCAGACAACATTTATTGAGCACTTACTACATCCCAGCTGCTATTCTAAACATTTGATAAACATGATTAATCATGGGTACAGTTGTTAAACTTTCATTTTACAGGGGAAGAAACTAAGTCACAGTGAACTTCAATGACTCACCCAGCCACCTGGCTAGTAGGTGGTGGTGCTGGGATTCTAGCCCAGCAGTTTGGCTTTGGAACTTAGTGTAGTGAGTTTGAGGGAGTTTGAGACCAATCAAGGAAAAAGATAGGGCCATGAGATAGCAGTGTCACACAACAGGCTATTGGAGCCGAAGCATTACAGCAGGGACAGTCCCCTACTACATGAGACTCTCCAGAGGCAAGCAGTGGAGGGAGCCACCAGAAGGGAACCCCCGGGGGAGAGGAAAGGAGGGAGGGGACTTACATGTTGCTAGGCGATGTTCCTCTGCAGCAAGGTGGGAGTCCCTGGGTCAGAGAACTCTAAAACACAGCACAGCTTGGGGTCCTTCTAACTATCTTGGGCTAGCAGACATTGGGGGCAGTTTCTTGGGGTATGTAAAGCAGGCAGGCTCTTAAAAATATGCTTAATTGGGCTATTTTAAAAAACAACTGGATGTGTAAAAATTTGAGTTTTACTCTGGCAGGATTTTTGGGCTAATGGACCCAGCCTGTTATGAAGAAGTAAGCAACTTAGGGCTAATACTCAGAGGTCATCCTTGGCTCATTTGCAGTAGACCTGGCCACCTTTCTTAGAGGTGCCTTGGAGGAAAGCCCTGGTGATCTACTTCTGAAAAGTCAACCATTGAAAACCCTATGGAACAAAATTCTATTCGTACACATATTGGGGCACCATCAGTGGGAATAGACTTGATGTCAACTGGTTTTATGGCACTGAAGTCACAGTGGGGATCAGAGGTTAGCATCTAGGCAGAAGGGATGGAGAACACAGTTGAGATTTTTCACTAACCACCCCCATGCTTACAGGTGACAGTAGCACTGGGTTAGTTTTCACTGACTACATGAGAGCGATCTGGGTACCTCCTGCCACCCCCTCTGCCCTCAAGCAAGTTTGTTTTCTCGGCAAGAGATGACTTACATACCAGGAAGAGTGAAATGTTATGCTCAAGTGCCACAGTAGTACAGATCAAACGCTGTGTGCTGGGGGTTGATGGGGAGAAAACGAAGATGTTTTGAGCATCAGAGTAGAGAGCTGTCCTCTTGTAGGTGGTGGTGAAATTTGCCTGTGGCCCTTACAGTTTTCACAGTGAGTTGGAAAAGGAGCATTTGGGTAATTTTGCTAGAATAGAAAACTCTTGCTTTTGAGTTTCGTTTTCATTCCTTTTTAATTAATGTAAGCATCTGAAACTAATTTATTTGCCTTTTACTGAATGAATAAATGTTAGTTTTTGTTTAATAAAAATCGTGTTACTGGATATGTATATAAAAAGCCTTGTCAGGTGAATTGAGGATAAAACAACATTTTGGGCCTTGTAGTACTGTCTTCACTGCTGGCTATATCTCAGAGCTGACACAGCTGATAGCAGCTGGTACCAGGAAGGAGAAGAGGTCAAGGGCTTGTGCTGTGTGCTCTGTTTCCACATTCCAAGAGAATTACACTCTTGCCAAAGTCTTCTTCCTCTTATGCCCATATTAATTTCTTTGAGGCTGTAGGAACCTTAATTTTGCAGAGTAGTTTACAATTCGGCAGCATTACTCTCTGGGACTGTTAAATAGTGTTTAATTTTCTCAGCTTGATGCTTTTTTTCCTCTTGTTTTGAACTTAAGCACTTCTGCAGGGGATAAAAAATCACAGTTAACATTAAAATCTAAACTATTTACAACTTTAAATTTTGTGCGATCCGTTTTATGTACACTTTGTTCTCTGTGACTTTAGCGTCCTTCCAGCCTTGAGTTTTTCTGCCTGAAATGTCAAAGGACCCTGCTTTCTTTGAGAGACAGAACGTGTGAAGTCACCACATATTAGTTTTACATATTGCATTATCTGTAGGAGAAATATTTTGGCTCTGACGCTTCTTCCCGTGATTCCTTAGCCTGGGTGGTTGGTGGCAGTAAAGTGGTTAGGAGGATGGACTCTGAGCTAGGCTCCTGGGTTAAGCCTTACACTTTGCCACCTCTGAGCTGTGTGACCTTGAGCAAGGCATTTAATCTCACCATGGGGTGGGACTAATAATAGTACCTTTATCATAGGGTTGTTCTGAGGATTAAATGAGACCCGAGGCAGGTAGCTATGAGTCGGAATCGACTAGACAGCAATGTTTTTTTTGTTTATTTGTTTTAAGGCAGGTAGAGGAGTCCCTGGGTGGCGCAGATGGTTAAGCGCTTGGCTACTAACCAGAAGGTTAGGGGTTCGGATCCATTCAGAGGTGCCTCAGAAGAAAGGCTTGGCAATCTACTTCTGAAAAATCAGCCATTGGAAACCCTATGGAGCAAAGTTTTACTCTGTCACACATGGGGTCACCATGGGTCAGAATGTTAAGTAGTAACAGAATGGTAACTTGTAAGGCAGGTAGAACAGTGCCAGCCTATGTTGTTAGGTGCTATCGAGTTGGTTCTGACTCATAGCGACCCTGTGTACAACAGAATGAAATACTGCCTGGTCCTGCACCATCCTCACAATCGTTGCTATGTTTGAGCCCATTGTTGCAACCACTGTGTCTGTCCATCTCGTGGAGCGTCTTCCTCTTTCTCGCTGACCCTCTACTTTACCGAGCATGGTGCCTTTTTTGCGGGGACTGCTTCCTCCTGATAACATGTCCAAGTACATGAGATGAAGTCTCGCCATCCTTGCTTCTAAAGAGCATTCTGGCTGTACTTCTTCCAAGACAGCTGTGTACGCGTTAGCTGTTATTATGTGTGCCCATTGTACTGAGCCCAGGGTTTTGCATTTGGTCATTTACAGATGACATGGCCTTTGATGTGTCCTGGTTTGTGGTGCACTCCTTCGTCCTGGACAAGGCTCCTGTTTTCCTGTCTTCCCTGGACCGGAAGGGGATTGTGAACACTGCTGAGAGGGACTGGAAGAGCGACCTCAGCCTGGAGCGGGTGGGTGTGCTGGAATTCCTGCTGCAAGTGCATGGCTCTGAGGACCAAGACTTTGGCAACTACTATTGTTCCGTGACTCCATGGGTGAAGTCACCAACAGGTTCCTGGCAGAAGGAGGCAGAGATTCACTCCAAGCCCATCTTTATAACTGTGAAGATGGATGGTAAGAATGACACACAAATATTTCTCTCAGTGTTTGCAGAATGTCTTCTCTCCATGCTGTGGTGCAGCTAATAGAATCCAGGTTTCCACCGTTTGAGGTCCTGCTTTCTGTCTAGACCCGTCCTGGGCCTGTACCCAGAAAGAGCACAAGCAGCTCTTGCTGTTCTCACAGCTTTGGCATTGTGCTCTCTTGGCTCCACTGGGAAATGATTGCCAAGACGTATTGGAAACATTGTTGATGCCTCCTCACCTCTTCCATGAATTCTATGCAAACACACTTTATTGTATCCTAGGGTTGGTGTGGATTTGGCCAGGCAAGGGTGGAGAGCAAAGTTAAGAGATGGGGTTCAGGTCTTCAGGTGAGGCTGTAGAATGAGTGCCTACTACTGTTACCCTCCTATTGTTTTTGCTTCTTAGAAAAAAGAGGCTTGTCCTTTAATGGAGTGGATATTTCATAGAACCCCCAAATGAGAGAGTGAACCCCCTGCCTTATTAACCTACACAGACCGCTAAAGTCAACCTAACTGGATGTCTGAAGGTCTCCTTCCCATCCTTCTGCCCCATGAGCATTTCAGAGAGTGGGGACGATGGTTCCTTGGTGAACAAGAAGCAACTCTTTGTTCAAAAAGCTTCAGAAAGTAAATGTTAATTGAAATAACTCCATGCAGAAAATAAACTCCAGATGCCTCCAAGGATTAGTAGAAGCCTCTTGAATTTGCTTCCTTCACAATAGGTCAGTTTGGGGGAAGCCTGGATTGGAACCCCAGCTCTTCTGCAGCTCACTGAGCCTTTCTGAGTCTTAGTTTCCTCTCTTATAAAATGAAAATAATAATCTCTCATGGGGCTATTGTGAAAATTAAACCATACTAAATGTAAAGCAGCTTGTACAATGCCCGACGTCCACCCAAGAGACGCTGGCAGTTATGGAGGATGGGAGATAGGATTTTGGGCTTGTGGGATCTAGATGATGTTGGTGAGTTTCTGAAACTTCATCATTTACACCATCTTTGCATCTTAGAAATTCCTTGCTTGAAGCCACTCCATATGAAAACCCAGATTTACCAAACAAGTAAGGGAGTAATTATTCACATCACTCGATAATTTACTATAGTGTTACTTGAAATAGCTCTCCTAGTACACTTCAGTTATTTGATGCCTATAATTGATTTATGCACAGTTTTTTTAAGGATACATCTGCCGCTGAATGTGTGGTGCCCTTATCCTGACTTTTAAAAGTCAATCTCCAGCCAAAACCCTAAAAAGCAAGTTGACATTCAAAAGCATCACATGAGATCTTTTTTCTGTTTTTTAATCCTCCAAAGAACTGGGTGGGGAAACATTTGCTCATTTTTTCAATAGATACGGATGAGCCGCTCCTATCTCAAGAGCTGTGCTAGGCACAGAATACAGGGTGAATGACACCTAGTCCCTTGGGAAGATCCCATCCAGCGGGGAGGGTCTCTACCCGGAGGCCACATCCATAATGTCACTGACCTGGCTTCCCCTTTGATCTCCCCCTCCCAGTGTTGAACGCCTTCAAGTACCCCCTGCTGATCGGCATCGGTCTGTCCACTATCATCGGGCTCCTGTCTTGCCTCATCGGCTACTGCAGCTCCCACTGGTGTTGTAAGAAGGAGGTCCAGGAGACGAGGCGCGAGCGCCGCCGTCTCATGTCAATGGAGATGGACTAGGCTGGCGCCTGCGAACGGGAATAAGCAAGGGACGGGACGTTCTAGGAGCAATTTGGGCGAGAAGAGGACAGTGATATTTTAAAGTGAAGTGTGTTACATTCAAAACCAGTCCTCTCTAATCTCAGGTGGGACTTGGCGCTCTCTCTTTTCTGCATGTCAAGTACTGAGCGCGGACATGTTTACCAGCACACAGCTCTTCTTCCCACGGCACTTTCTTATATAACAGTTGAGTGTGTGTTTTCCCAGCTGCGGCTTTTTAATGGTTAACCTTTGTCTAATTTTTTTCTCCTACTGGTTTATAGATCCTCTGACTTCTGCGTGTTTATATCTTTGTGTTGCGAGGGGTTGTGGTGAGGGAGGGGTGACGGCATTCAGAGTTCTTGGTCTGGAGTGAGAACTGGGGACGCCACCTGCTCAGAGAGAGCTGCTAGATGCGACCCTCTACCTGGGCTTAGAGACAACCCAGACCTACGTTGAAAGCTAGTTTGTGGCTTATACAACCCTGCCCCGCCCCTATTTTCAGGGGTTTAGACTATATTTGAAATCTAAACATGCAGTATGTAACTTCTTATTGAGCCCAAATGCATTTACTTTGCTCCTCTGCCCCCTTCCTGTTTCTTTTGTATTTGTTTTATGCGAGAGTGCTGAAATGGCGGCCCTGGAATCTAGAATCTGGCTCTCCACCGAGCACCTTATCTTGCCACCTTAGCCTTAAGAATGAATACGAAGAAAAATACACAGCCACCTCTGTCCAGGGTAGTGAGAAGTTCTGCAAGGAGGAGGAGGTTGGGGACCAGGAAAGGAACAGACATTCACTCCCATAGTTCTGAGGTTCCTGTGCCTCAGGGGCCCCCAGGGAACGCAGAAGAGGGATCCTGGGAAGTTAGATTTTTGCAGCTCATGCAGTGGTGTTGGGGGCATGTTAGGGTGAAGATACCAACCAACTCCGTTCCCCTCTTCTGCCCTTTCTGGGAGGCAAAGACATAGATCATCAAGGGACTTCCAGGAGCTCCCACAGATACCCACCGTCCTTTCTGTGCTGCTTGGGCTCCTTAACATGAAGGCAAATTGCTGCTTGCAAGACTGACTTTAAGGAATCAGAAATTGCATAGAAGAACCACACATTTCCTATGACCTTTTCAGTCCTTCAAGTCTTTTTAAGACACCCTGCAGGGGATTAGTGAGAAAGGGTGTATTTTGTGATATGTTGGCTTTCCTATTAGGAACATGAATGAAACCTAGCAGTTTATTGTCATATGAACAGCCTACAAAGTCAGTTTGAGAGCAATATGTTCTACCCGACTGCTCCTATCAGGGATAGGACAGTGAGCAGAAGGAGCTCTTACATGTCCCCGGCTTTAAAAGTGGTCCCCCTGCACAGCGCTGGCTTTTGGGAAGCATCCCAGTGGGGTTTTCTGAGACTCGCTGGTGACTCGTGCCCTACATTTCAGTCCTCTGTGCTTTGATCCTGGCTGTGAAGGATCTAACACTGCTCTGTCTTCCAAAGGGGAAAAAGATTCGTTGGTTATGAGCAATAAAATAATGCAAAATGATGGCCATTCACATGCGGCTCTTTGTCACATTGGCCACATGAGCCTCACTCCCCTGGTTCACCATCCTCCCCTCTGCTCTCCTCACTCTGCTGCCCACAGTCAGTTCTGCACGTATCACCGAGTCACCTTTGTAAGGCAGATTGCCGCTGAGTTTTCTCTTTTGGTGTTGCCCACTGTGGCGACCACTCACGTAGAAATTCTAGATTCTGTGCTAACAATAGCAGTGCCAGTGAATTCCAGGTCCGGAGTCTGTGATGGGGAAATGGGCAGCAGATGTGCCTCACCAGAGGGAGAGTGAGTAGAGGAAGAGGAGGAGGTAGGTCCTAGTAGTACTGGATTTTGATATTTCCCACACATCATTTCCTGACTGCTAATTCAGAGGAGATGGGTCACAGATTATTGCACAAATGGGAGTTAAAGTGAGAACAAACGTAAACAAGTGCTGGCTTAGTAACAACCAGTGCATCTTATTAAAAGAAGATTCAGGATCGTTGTGGTGCAGGCCCTTTATAGCAGAAGAAAACGGTACTTAGCTTTGGACAGGACCAGGTGGCCCCAACTGTAGGTAACACCATGGACTGGGTTATACCAGACATTCGGTGGTGGTAAAAGTGATGTGCTCACATGGTGTACCTTTTCCTTTTAAACTGATACTGCAGTTCAGAGCTGGAATTAGGGCAGTGATCCCCACCCCAACCCACTCCCCATCCCACTGTAGGTCCACTGGGCCGAGCAAACTGCCAGTCACCTGGAGATAGGGAGAGATATCCCAGGGCGTTGCACCCAGAGTCTGGTTCTTTACAGGGAAATCAATTTGCCTGGAATGTGTGTCTTTTTAAACTGTGAGATACACCCTTTTGCTGTACCAAATAGGGATCCCCACAGTGCTCTTCTGGATGGTCATTGTGCCAGAAGCACTGGTGGGAAGGAAAGAAGGGCCCCGCCATGATTCACCTGGATGAAATTGCACTTCTTAGCAAAACAAAAATAAACATTTGGGTTTTTTTTTCCCCCCAAACATAAAAATCATCCCCAGAAAGAGCCTAAGCTATGTTCACGTAGAAGCCTCAAAATTACTTTAAATTGTTTACTTTATGATGTTTACATACACTTCACTTTTCTAAAAAAAAGGAAAATGTAAACTGCCTTTTTTTTTAAACGACTTTTCAGATTTTTTTGTAGGATGGTGGGACTCTGACTCACCAACTGGATTTAAATCTTAATTTAGAAGCTTATTGAAATACGTGTGCTTTTCTCCCTCCTCCCCACCCGCTTTTTCTATAATCCTGGTCAAGGAGGCCCCCTGCCCAGACCCCTGTCTGTTTTCCTTTGTGGCTCTTGCTTCTTGCTTTGCAGACTGCCTGCAGCCATGATTTCTGTCACTGACATCTGTGAGCCAAAGACTGAGCCTTTCTGGCAAGGATACTAAGCAATACTCCACAACTTGCTACTTTCAGAAAATTTTTTTTTTAAGCTTCACTGATGACAACAGAGGAAGAAGGGAACTAGGATTTGGGTAAGTTCTCCTCCACTGTTTGACCAAATTCTCAGAAATGAATATGGCGTGCAGATCACTAGGAGAAAAAAAGTTGACTTTCTTCCTTTTTTAGCGTGGCACATACGGATCTGCAGAATTTTACGTAGACAAAAGAAAAGGTCTTGTGTATTTTTGTCTATAGCCAATGTTATATGAACTAATTGTATTGTTTTATACTGTGACCACGAATATTATGCAATGCACCATTTGTTTTTTATTTCATTAAAGGAAGTTTAATTTAAATTTCATGAGGGTCAGTGGCTGAATTTTGGTTGCAGCTTAAGCACCTTCTGATCTCTCTGAATCCAGTAAAACCACTAAAGATAAGAGAAGAAATGAATTTAATGGGGATCGAGGTTAAGATTCCCACCAAACAGAAAGATGAGGTCTAGGATCCTGTTGCTTCTGGAAGGTGTTGCATTCTTTTGCTGAATTCTCATGACCTTATAGGTCCCCTCTCAGGAAAGAGAGAAGCTTGATAGTGTTTCTCTCTGCAGATGAGGAAACAAACACCCAGTGCTGTGACCGGATTGTGACTGGGACAGAACAGCTTTTCTGACTCATGACCCAGTCTGGAGCCAAACCAGCCCAAGAGGTGCCAGCCCCTGTAATATCCAAACAAGTCCTCTTCCCCAGGCCACTGTGTCAGCAGCGCTGAGCAGGAGGGAGCAGCGGGAGCCTGACTGCTGGCCGCTGGAGCAGCCGCAGGGCCTTGGTTGGCCTCCCCCTGACTCTCCTGTTGGCTTCATTTGTGTTATCTTCTGTGTCCTGGGCAGGGACCACTTCACGTTGAGGGCTCTTCAAGGGCTGCGGCTGGGACCTAGTCACTAACATTCTCCAGTGATTGGCGCTGTTCCTGGCATCCAGAAGGTACTTGGAGTTACGAATGCACAGTTAATGCTCTACTGTCAGAAATGACCCATTCTTGCATACTTCTCATTGAAACGGGGGGATTCTACTCACATAAGAAACTGTTGTTGTCAGAGTTGGTTTTTAGCAATGCCCTACCTATCACTGACCCCTTCCCTGCCTCATTGTAAATTGAAAACAAAACAAAAACTTGTTTGCACACTGACTGTGTGCCCCAGGCATTGTGCCAAGCATGGGAGAAGCTGCCACTTAACTCACTTGTGGGCCGTGGCACACACTGCCTAGAATCCTCTTTACACCCAGCCCTCTTTCCACCTATCATACTTACCTTTCAGGTCCCAGGAAGCCTTTTCTGTCTTCTAGGCAAGGTGAGGCTCCCCTGAGAGATGCTCTGAGGGCAGGGACCGCTCCCCACTGTGGCCCCCATGCCTAATAGTGACATTAACTGACGTTGGAATTCTCACAATGGGCAGGTACTGGGTTGAGTGCCTCATAGATGTTTTCTCAACCTTCAAGTCATCCTGAGGTGCCCACAGCAGGAACTCTCCTAGCTGTTCTCCACACAGCTGGGCCATCCACACATAGCACCACTCCATTTCCTTTAACTCACAGACCACTGTGCATGGCACAGTCACTGCTTGGGGCTCATCAACTACTCTGGTGCACCTGGGTGGCTCTGCACTACCCATGGAGGTGATGCTCACCCGAGTCCTCTCTGTTCTGTTTATTCTTCAACCTGTTTATGTCATTAGTACTTGTTACTAGGCTTACATAAATTAATTGAATGTTATGTAAACCAATGAGATATGAGTGCCAAATAAAGGTGTCAATGAAAACTAAGATGAATTCTCTAGAAAGACTCAATGGGGCAAATTTTTTTTTTTAATGTTATCAATTTAGGTACAGACAAGACAACTGTAAAGATAGAGGGAGAAAAAAAATTTAAAAACATGGACAGATTCTGCACTTGGCTGACTTTACAAACGCTTTTAAGTTCTTATACCTTTTTAAAGAAATCAAACCTGGGAGCTGTAGAGAAGACATTATAGGTTTGGTTTACACAAGAAAAGTGGTAGGAAACTCCAGGCAGCAGACCCACATGCAAAGGAAAGACCTGGGTCTAGGTGAAGAGATTGGTGAATGAAGGTACATATCTATGGCTTAAGTGAAAATCAAATGTGTAAGATGCACATGGGTCTTTTTATGATTCCCTACTTTACCTGACATTTTCTATTAAGTGATCAACTAACAGCCCTAATTATCTCAGATAAGAGGGTTTCTGCTATTATTGTTCCCATTCTTTTAGGTGAGAATATTGAGACATAAAGGATTTGCTCAAAATGAACCCAAATCTTTCTGACTCCAAAGCCTGTGCAGGGTTTAAATCACTGCACCAACCACAGTGCCTGGATATTTTAGGCATCAATGAATTTTTGTTGCATAGATAGAAAGATTAGCAAAAAACTGGACACTGCCCTTTTGAAATGTATGACCTTAGAGGTAGGTAAAGAATTCCTTTCTAAGTAAAACTTTAGAGGTCAGTTCAAGCACACTGCATAGCACAGAGGAGGGGGTGATGAACTGAGTTCAAGGTGTCAGGAAAGGTTTCACATAAGAGAGGCAAACCCAGATTCTGAGGCTTTAAGATGACAAGGCATTTACCAGGTGGGGAATGGGGCAAGATTCTAAGCAAAGAGCTAGCATTTGCAAAGTTAAAGAGGGAAGCAATAGTAAGAAATGATCAGAGAAATACAAGTGGTTCCGTACTCCTGGAGGCTGTAAGTCAAAGGGCAGGGTGACGGTAGAGTTCGCAAGGGCCAGCTCACAAAGGTCATGTCACGGAGCTTGGACTTGATCCTCTAGAAATATTTGGGTTACCATTGAAGAGCTTTAAGCAGGACAGTGAATGGCTATATACTTGCATCTTAGATTGTTCTGGCAGCAGGCTTGGGGTGGGGGACAAGGCTGGAAGATCAATGGAACTGCATTAGTCCAGGTGAAAAATTGAGGCCCTCAATTGTGACGGCAGCCCTGAATTGTGACGGCAGCCCTGAATTGTGACGGCAGCAGATAGACTGAACTCACAAAAGATTTTAGGAAGAACTGACAGGACTTTATAACTGGATTGGAGCACCGAGGCCCGTCGTGGGGCTAAGTGGATATTGATGCACTCTACCACGATGGACAATACCAGTGAAAGAGAAAAAATGATTTCAGTTTTCAACTCAAGTTTGAGTTCCCTGAGGGACATTCAAGTGGAATTAGTGTGGAACTTCAGGGAGAAGTTAGGGTTGGAGATCTGTTTGTGATTATCAGTATGTAGCTGGGGGATGAGAGGCAGCAGTGTGAAGAGAGAAGGGCTGAAGACAGAGCCTAGAGAAGGCCACAATGTAGCTCAGGAAGAGGATCCAGTGAGGCGGAGACTGAGAAGGAACTTCCGATGGGGAAACAGAAAATCCTGGAGTGCTATCAGAGGAGGAAGGAAAGAATTCCAGCAGGTTTATCAGAGTCCAGCCATACCAGATGCCACAGGCCAAGTCAAGTAAGGACTGAGCAGGGTGCTGTTTATGACCTTGGAAGTTTGAGTGGATTGGAGCCAACCCAGATTTCAGGGGGCTCAAGTGCCTGTGAGCAGTTAGGAAATCAAATAGAATACAGAGCACCAGGGAACTCTGTCAGGTACCCGAGGAGGGGAGGGAAGGAAAGGTGATTGGAAACTAGGTTGAAAAGAAGGCTATTTAGTAGGATAGAGGTCCCTAGGTGACACAAGTGGTTTACACTTGACTACTAATCCAAAGGGTGGTGGTTCAAACCCACCCAGTGGTGCCACAGAAGAAAGGCCTGGTGGTCTACTTCTGTAAAGAGTACAGCCAAGAAAACCTTATGGAGCATTTTTACTCTGTAACACATGGGGTCACTATGAGTCAGCAATGGATTTGGTGTTTTGGTTTTATTCAGTAAGCTAGGAGACCTTTGAGCTTCTACAGGCTGAGCAAGCAGTGACTCGATACCTGTTTCTAAGGAGATAGCAGGGATCTAGAGCCCAGGTAAAGGGGGCTTTCTGTTCGTCTTCTCCTTCCTCCCCCGCTTCAGGGCCTATTCTGTTGGTTGGCAGTTAATCCATGGTAGGAAATTTAAGGAATAGCCCCTTTCAAAGAAGTATTCACATAAAACAGGAGATGGCCCAGGAATCCCATCTGTTGCTCATTCTCTTCTGCTACCAGGTAGTCAAACATATCCCCTATTCCCCATCCTCTACTCCTGATCTTCCCCACCCCCACGCCCTGGCCTTTGCCTCTACCCTTAGAAATCCAGTTCATGCTTTTCCCCTCTGTAAAGAAGAGACACTGTCATCTACCTCGAAAACCTCTTCAGCCTTCGTTAACCAATTGTCATCTGGTAAAGCCAGGCAGATGGGAAGTAAGAGCATAGGGACTATGAGCTGAGACCCTGGTGTCGTTCTCCATCACAGGGGCCAAGTTATTTCCCTACTCAGGGCCTCAGTTTCTTCCTTTGTTATGTGAGGGAGTTGGCTGCAATTGTTGTGGTCCTTTCCTGCAGTGTGACTACCTGGTGTTCTGTACATCTGGATCTGAGTCTTAGCCCCAGGGCTTTCTACATGGTGACTAGACCAGGACCTGTGTAGTAAGTATCAAGAGATCAATAAATTTGACCTCTGTTGTAAGACCTTAAGTGGGGAAAGGAGCAAAATAATGACCTGCTTCTTGCTGACCCCACGGGTGTCCCCCCTCCCACCCGCCCAGCCAGTCACTATCCCTCATACCCTCTGTCTTCTGAAAATCATGAGTGGCAAACCAGAAGGTGTAGTGGAAAGAGCACTGACCAAAAGTAAGAAGGCAGGCTCAGAATCGAGCCATTTTTTAGCCATCTGATCTTGGATATATTAGTTGATCCCCTGGCCTCAGTTTTCTTATCGGTAAAATGGGATTGGTAATACCTACTACATAACGATATGAGTAATTCCATAAAATTGTGTAAGCAAAAGTGCTTTACACAGAGCCTGATATGTACAAGGTCCCTATTTAAGTATTTTTTGGACCTGAATTCTTGTGATAGGCGGCCACAATACCTGCAATTTCTATGATTCAAGCCTGAAAAAAAAAAAAGCATCTCTTCTCATCCATTTTCCAAGCAGTGAAGCAAAATTGTTCCTTTAGTACATTCCTGGGTTGCTGTTTCCAGTACTGCCCTCTCCTTGCATTTGAATCAGGAACTACATTTTCTACATTCCTTTCAACTGATACAGTTGCAATGCAGTGATTCCCAAGGTGATAGAATAACTGTCTCTCTTGCTGGCTCTGTTTATTCTTTCTTCTTCTTTTTTGTTTTCCTTGACAACAGAAAACTTCTTTTTTTCCCTCCAGAAAAGAAGTGACTTACCCTGCCAATGTTAAATTCTGGCATTAATGGTGCCACTAAAATAGAGAAAAAATATACTTTGGCAACAGCCAGGAATGAGACGTTATATATCATGTACTTGGTTGTATGGATTTCATGGATACAGGGTGTCTTAGTTATCTAGTGCTGCTATAACAGAAATCCCACAAGTGGATGGCT